TAATTAATCGCAGTTGGCGTGTAGCCCAATTTCTCTTTCTTCCTCCTCTGTGTTTCTTTCAGACATTTTTTCTCCAGAGGAGAATCATTTGAAACGAATGAACCGAAAGTATTTACTATAGTTATCTTATGCTGTAGTGCTAATGCTGTAGTGCTAATGCTGTAGTACGGCGATCACAACCAGACCAGCAGTCTATTTTCGTCACACATTTAAAACACTCAAAACATGTTTTGACATACAAATCAGGCGTAATCAAAATGGTTAGGGTATATAGGCTTATATATATATATATATATATATATATATATATATATATATATATATATATATATATATATATATATATATATATATATATATATATATATATATATATATATATATATGTATATATATATATATATATATATATATATATATATATATGTAAATGTAATATATATATATATATATATATATATATATATATATATATATATGTAAATGTAATATATGTATATATATATATATATATATATATATATATATATATATATATATATATATATATATATATATATATATATATATATATATGAGAGTGAGTGAATGAGTGGGAGTGTCTGTTTCTGTGTTTTGAGTCTACGTGTCTGTGTGTCTGTTTTTGGAAAAATAAAAATACATGACAAAAATCCTGCCTACGCCACTGCTAGCAGCCCTTATTGTGTTTTTAGAAGGAAATGGTTTCGGTTTTCCCAATTTCCTTTTAACTTTAGAAACGTTTACAGAAAAATTTTGTTACGACTTGCAACCTAAATGCACAAGAACTATGGCTGCATTTATAACATATAATTAATTATGTTAATCCACTTTTAATTTTCACTACATTTGTTCATTTTGTGAATCTGGGTTACAACTGTTGTAAAAATAAGTTGACGAACAATCAATCTAACAGACAAAGATTAACTTCAGATTGACCAGCTTATGAAAATTGGATCATCTGGCCATGGAGGATGATGAAAATCGTGTTCAATTCGTAAGATTATTTTATTTTTATTAGTAAGGGATTAGGTTGAAGTTTTAACTAAAGTGTATACTTGAGCCTAAGGCCTAGGTTATACTGATTCAACATTAGGCCATTGTATTTAGAATGTGGTACTAAATCTAATTAGGGACAGTAATTCCACAGTAGTGTTGACTGTTAGGCTTTAACATTTATGAACCTGTACCTGTACCTGTACCTGTACCTGTACCTGTACCTGTACCTGTACCTGTACCTGTACCTGTACCTGTACCTGTACCTGTACCTGTACCTGTACCTGTACCTGTACCTGTACCTGTACCTGTACCTGTACCTGTACCTGTACCTGTACCTGTACCTGTACCTGTACCTGTACCTGTACCTGTACCTGTACCTGTACCTGTACCTGTACCTGTACCTGTACCTGTACCTGTACCTGTACCTGTACCTGTACCTGTACCTGTACCTGTACCTGTACCTGTACCTAGCCCTAGCCCTAGCCCTAGCCCTAGCCCTAACCCTAACCCTAACCCTAACCCTAACCCTATCCCTGACTTATCCCTCACTTGGGTGTTGATAATTGACAGATGAGGGAGGGGGTATGGACATGGGGGTAACTGCTCCGGGGGGCAGAATACCTGGAGAGGGGTATGTCCGGGGGCGGGTAATATCCAGCTCCAGAAAACAATGTAGAAGTCTCTCGTTAGACTTTAAGCAAAGCGACATTTCTTCAAAGAAAAAACTCACTTATTTGTATTTGATATTTACTTATTACAATTTTTAGCGCAATTTCCATTCTGGAGAATTGCGTTTATTAACTCGTCTTTTCTGGGAATGTATGAATGGATGGATGGATGGATGGATGGATGGATGGATGGATGTGTGTCCGCAGCTTTAAGTCGTATCTCCTCCTCAACGGAGCAATATCAATGACTAGTTCCAAAAGCAATTATGTTAAGCAAGTTACGAGGATGAACATAGGCCATAAAAATTCCGGGTTTCTTTCATGTATTTCCCGGAAAAGCCAAAAAACCTCGAAAAAATGCAGTTTTTTGCCCATATCTCGGCAACCAGACCACTTAGTGACTTGAAACATGTACCAATCGATTCCTGCCATAATTTAGAACAATATTGCCGAAGAAAGTTTTTAAAAATATCCTTTCGTTCGGTCACAAAAAAAATTTTTAATTAATTAAAATTTGGACCGAATTAGTAGGCATTTTTTCCAACCACACCACACGCGTCATCACGTTCAATAGCTGCGCCATCACGCTCAATGGCTGCGTCATCACGTTCAGTAGCTAGGCGCACAATGTCATGTAACTCTATTGTAAATAAAACATGTATTTTAACCAATGGTTTTACTAACCCTGCTCTTGATTTACGCTACGACAGAGCTATTTTTAGATAACATAAGGAAATTGCGCTAAAATTGTCACTAGACTTTTTAATTACCTTGTTTTTAATAAGATGAAGGTTAAAGCCTTCGTTTTAAGTAAATTAAAGTTTATTTTTCGAACGTGACAGCCCATGGGGCAATTGAGTTTACCTGTTTCTGTGACCTCGGCATATGAATAAATAAGGTTGTCGGGGGGTGCGGACCGCACCGGGTGATACCATTTAGGGGGGTGACACCAAGGCAAAAAATAGCAAAATATATAGAGAAAAACTGGAGGGGGTGCAAATCGAAAGTTTGAGGGGGGGGGGGTGCAAATCGAAAACTTGAGGGGGGTGCAAATCGAAAGTTTGAGGGGTTGTGCAAATCGAAAACTTGAAAGTTTGTCCCCGTAAGGGTCGCTACGCCTCTGGGGAGTGACACCATTAAGTGCCGCACCGGGTGACACCCGACCTCGCTACGCCACTGAGATGGATTATGGTTCATATGCTAACATATATGACCAGTCTCTTCACAAACGTAGCTAAGGGTTTCGCTAGCAGATTGTCGGATTTAGAGAGTGAAAATCATTCCTATACAAATTTTGCGACATAGGACTGGTCAGATTTATTTTGAGTTTCCCGCAGTTCAACCAACTTAAATGATTGGTGGAATAAATAAAAAGCTTTATTTATTTTTTTGGAGAACATTTCGCTGAAATAAATTATGTGTGGTCAGGAAACAGTGACATCTGAAGATAAAAAGGGCAGATTTATGTTTAAGTTTACATTAAAAGGCAACTCAAACAATCAACGACACGCGTGGTTAATTTTGTTTAAATCGCAAGTTATTTTTTTTTTGTGGATATTATTTATTAAATGTCCAGCCTACATATATATATATATATATATATATATATATATATATATATATATATATATATATATATATATATATATATATATATATATATATATATATATATATATACATCTTGTGAACATTTGATCTTTTAAAAAATGTAAATAAATTATTTAAATTGTTACGCTATATTGTCTAACAATTTTAATTGTGTTTGTTTTTTAAATGGACAATTTAAAAAAAAACCCAACTATTTTGTTTTTTAATATGTTTTATAGCAAAGTGAAGACCCTGAATCATCGCCTGCCTATTCTAGGAGAGACAATGTAAACGCTGAAAAAGGTCCTCCATATAATTTTACTCTGGGTATTTTTAGAATGCATTACATTTACGGTGTATGCCTTGTATGTGTAGAGTACAATATTACTGTTTTCAATAAAACCGATAGTCTCGAGTTCAAATCCGGGACTTAACTAGTAGAACGTCAGTGAATCCACCCAACTCTGATGGGTACCTAACTCATATTAAGGAAAGTTAAGGCGGCTAGGCAAAGTGCTGACCACACCTTCCCTTTACATGCCGAGGTCAAGAAACATATGAAATCTACTTCATCTGCCCAATGGATCGCTAGGTCTAAGAGGATTCTCTTTTTTTCATCTTTTCTACAAGTAGGTTTTTTGTTTTGTTACAGGTATAAGCAATTATTTATTTATAAACTAAATCCAAGTAAGTAATAGTGTGATGACGCTAGTTTAGGTCGAATAGGCCAAGTAGAAGAAGTTAATAGAAACAGGCTATAGCTAGTTAGTTAGAGAGACCAATGAAAGTACAGGAGCTGACCGGTCACGTGGGACGGTCAGTTGACCACTGAAGCGTGGGTCTGCAGTTAGGCCAGGCAGTCGATAGTTAGGTAGGGGAGGAGAACGGACAGTAGCGACCCTTCCCCGCCCGGGGACAAACTTTCGATTTGCACCGCCCCCTCCCCTCGAACTTTTCAATTGCACACCCCCCCCCCTCAAACTTTCGATTTGCACCCCCACCCCCACCCCCCTCGAACTTTTAATTTGCACCCCCCCCCCCCTCAAACTTTCTATTTGCACCCCCACTCTCGAACTTTTCATTTGCAACCCCCTAGGGTCGGCGCCCGGGGACATATGTCCCCCCCTCGCTACGCCTCTGGAGACAGGTAGCGTCAGGGTAGAGATGTAGAGAATTAGAGATAGTGTTAGTGATGGTCATGGGAGTGCGTATTTAGTTGTAGTATTAGATTAGTTAGGTAGGACGTTGATTGTGTATATTTTAATAAAAGAACATTATGTTTGAACTTGTGTGTTGGATTCTCATCATCTTCATCACCCCCACTTTCACATTTGGTGGTACTGCATTTCCCCACCCTCACAACTGGCGGTAGATCATCCAAAACCCCAACTTCACAAGTAGTAATTTTTTTTTTTTTAAATAGAAATATTATCTTTTTTTTTACAGTAATTTACACAACTCTCCAAGGAATTTTAATGGCTATCTCTGTTTCCATGATTGTTATTGGTAATCGTCTATTATAAAAAAAAAAAAAATTAACAAGTTTAGTTGTCGATAAAACTCAAGTAAATGTAATGCGCTTTTGCAGTAAGTTGTAGTTTATTTGACTAAGAAATTAAATTTTTAAAATATACTTCTTCCTATAAAATAGTTATTTTTTTAAATATATTTTAAAATTGATTGACTATTTTATCTTATTTACACAGTGTTTTATAATACTCTCAGGTGCGCTATACCTGGATGATTGTCCTGTTGAGCGCATGATCCCGATCTACCTAATTGTGGCAGGATGTTTTGGTTGTGCCAAATGCTTGTTTACCTTGGTCAGTCAAGCGAGGAGATGGAAGAAGATAGGAAAAAAGTCAACCCCATTGAAGCGTTTATCAGCTTTTTCCTGCTCGCTTGGCTTATTGCAGGTCAGTTCAGATAGATAGCCTCTATCTCATTTAGCGGTGTTGAGTTATCAGTAAAAGAGTTGTTTTCATGTTTCGGGATCGGAGAGGGGGGCGCAGTCTCCCAACCTCCCTGTAAACGTGTAACTACCCCCCTTTTTACCAGTGTCCGCCTCCCCCCTCCCGTTGAAAGAAACACTAACCAGTAATTAATGACTTAAAATTGGGATGGGGGTGGAGAATTTCGATATTTCCATATACAACTGTTATGATGAAGAGTCGACCCCATTGACGCAGTTGTCACATGTTTCCTGTTTGCTTGGTTCGTTACAGGTGGGTCTAAAGACGTCGTGGTTGTAAGGTAAACTGCACGATTGTTAACCAAGAGGCTCATTGCAGGTTTTTTACGCGGAAGAACATCAGTAAAGAAATGCAGACTTAAATCCGAGTCAGGGTTTCTTTCAGACATTTTTCTCCGGGGGAGGTGGCGGCTTTAAAAACTTTCTGTGTGTGCAATTAAGATCTGTGTGTGTGGGGGGGAGGGGGGGTGCAATTACGATCTACGGGGGCCATGCCGACAAAAGCATATATATTTTCTATATAATTTTCTTTTTCATTTCATCCTGCACGCCCTTCCCCACCCTTCCTCCCGCTTTCGCCCCCTGAGATGCATATCAGAAACTTTGGTCTGAATTAATGGATCATAACGCGCATAACCGGATGGGATGTAATACTTATGTTAGAAAAAAAAACAATGATGCTCGACATAGTTAAATTATTATGGATTTCATCGAATGATAAGGAACAAAAACGTTTTGAGATGTTTGTTGCAGTTACTTCATTTGGTTGGGGAAGGGAAGTGGAGATACCGCCTTCGTTTTTTTTATAGATGAAAATTATAGATGTAGAGTTAGCCCTATGCAAAAGTGTAAACAAACACCTTTCTCTAATTGGATAAAAATTATAATAATGCCAACTACATATCTCGTTTTAATTATATTTCCAGGATGTGTTTACATCTACCGTATTTATGACGAAGTGAGTTACGACCATTTAAACACGGATCACTACTGTGACAAGACTTTGTATTTGTTTGCCTTTTGGGTGGCGACTGCAGTCTACATCATCATGGGATTGTTCTGTTTCTGTGTGTCTTATGTGAGATGTTTAACATATAAGTGCGAAGCAATTGGTTGACAAATATTTTCCTTCTTTTTTTCTTAACTAGTACTAACTAAAAAAATATTTAACCTAAGAACTGATACATGCAGAGCGTATAGGCCTACTTTCAATTATACATTTTCAACTCCATTTTGTATCTGATATTTAGCACTAATAAAATATATAGAATTGTATGAAACTTTATTGATAAAATTTACAACATGCTGAAGGTATCTTCACTTTTACCTCCTTCATGTTTAAGTAAATTGCTAGAGGGAGGGGGGGGGGGCAATTTGAAAGCAAAGATTTAAAATCAAGCGAAAGTCATGATGACAAAACCTGGTCTGTTATTTAAAACGTTTAATTTCAAATACATTGGGTCAAAATTATATTAATATTTGTAAGTAATTTTTTAAAAATGTTTTTGACATTTTAAAAATTCAACACCTTTTTATTTTAGAAATTATACTAATTAATTAAGAAGGTATTTTATATCGTCTCCTTTGACAAATGCATAATATACAATGATTCCAATTAAATCACCTGTATTTGTGAATTTAAATTATTCTTCTATAATTGCTTTTGTTCGATAAATTTAGCGTAATTTTTTTTTTGTATTGAAATCGTATATCTGTTAAGCGCTTTTAAAAAAGAATGTTTTAAATGTAATTTTTCTTTCCATCCAAACTTTGTTTTCCCTGCTAACTGCGTTTTTCCCACGTTTTCTTTAACTTGCTTTCGCCTCTGTTTGTTTGTTTGTTTGTTTTTCCAATCAAATCTTGCGATCGAAATTTCGGGCACTTCCCAGTTAGCTAGCGCGCTGAAATTTTCAGGGAAGCTTTGTTTCGGATGACAATAGAATATTCAACTGTTATTATTACTAAATTGATCCATGGAAACATTTTATTGATCATTTTATACCCCTATATAATTGTACAAAAAACGTGGGGGGAAAAGGGACATAACCCAGTAACTGTAATTTGATGAAAACAAGGTTCGGTACTCTCCCTCTTTTTCTTACTGAGTTGTTGTCACGCGGTGTTTGTCTACAAACAACCAGAACGTAACAACTGGTGGCCAGTATGGGGGAGACGATATGGTCGAGTGGTTGGGCACACGATTGCTAACCCACTCGACACGGGTTCAAATCTATGTGTTCTAGTCAGTAACGTATTCACACAACGTGTTTTTTACGAGTTGTCTTTTTACGAGTTGTCTTCGTTTACCCAAAAAAAAAGTGAAAAGATAAAATCGATAGCAAGATTTCAATGCAAACAAACAGACAAAGACTAAAAAGTAGAAAATAATAATCATTAAAAAAGATTTTAATAAAATACTTAAAAAAAACTTTTTAAAAAACCACGTTTTTCTTGTGGACTAAAAAGTAGAAAATAACTATTTACATACATTTGATGACAAAAAACGTGGGTACGTTCACCATCAAATTTCCCGACCCATCTGCCCGACCCACGTTTTTTGTCATCAAATGTATGTAAATAGTTATTTTCTACTTTTTAGTCCACAAGAAAAACGTGGTTTTTAAAAAAGTTTTTTTTAAGTATTTTATTTTCTCCTTTTTAGTCCGTTGCTACACATGAAAAACGTGGTTTTTAAAAAAGTTTTTTATATAGTTTATTTTCTACTTTATCTAATGACTTGATTAAGTATGAATTGACTAAGTGTTTATAAATACACGGACTAAAAAAATCTTGAGCGACCAGGATTCGAACCTGGGTTGTCGCGGCCACAACGCGAAGTACTAACCACTATACGATTACGGCCAGCGCGCTCACATCGATTGGGGCCGAAGTAACTGTGTCAATAAGCCTCCAGTCTTGTCGGTATCTTTAGAAATCATGTCCTCAATTTTATGGTCCTTGGGGCGTAATTAAATTAAGCTAATTACGGTCTCTAATTGCTAGTTTTTATGATTGCATCTGAAATTGTTAGGCGAAAGTAACATGCATGCCAAATTTCAGATCTATAGAGCAATCAGAAGTGGGCTAATTTTCGATGTCAATTTTAACAACAAACACACAAACGCGAAGCTGAGTTAATAATAAAAAATACTTAAAAAAACTTTTTTAAAAACCACGTTTTTCTTGTGGACTAAAAAGTAGAAAATAAATTTTCATACATTTGATGACACAAAACGTGGGTACGTTCACCATCAAATTTCCCGACCCATCTGCCCGACCCACGTTTTTTGTCATCAAATGTATGAAAATTTATTTTCTACTTTTTAGTCCACAAGAAAAACGTGGTTTTTAAAAAAGTTTTTTTAAGTATTTTATTTTCTCCTTTTTAGTCCGTTGCTACACATGAAAAACGTTGTTTTTAAAAAAGTTTTTTATATAGTTTATTTGCTACTATATCTAATGACTTGATTAAGTATGACTTGACTAAGTGTTTATAAATACACGGACTAAAAATCTTGAGCGACCAGGATTCGAACCTGGGTTGTCGCGGCCACAACGCGAAGTACTAACCACTATACGATCACGGCCAGCGCGCTCACATCGATTGGGGCCGAAGTAACTGTGCCAATAGGCCTCCAGTCTTGTCGGTATCTTTAGAAATCATGTCCTCAATTTTATGGTCCTTGGGGCGTAATTAAATTAAGCTAATTACGGTCTCTAATTGCTAGTTTTTATGATTGCATCTGAAATTGTTAGGCGAAAGTAGCCTACATGCCAAATTTCAGATCTATTGAGCAATCAGAAGTGGGCTAATTTTCGATGTCAATTTTAACAACAAACAAACAAATCCACAAACGCGAAGCTGAGTTAAGAAAAACGTGTTAAAAAACGTGTTAAAAACCCACGTTTTCTGATTGAACTAAAAAGTAGAAAATAAATGCTATACATCACAATAATGCAAGCGATCACTCTACTATAAGCGATCAAAAACGTGGGGCGCCGTGATTTTCTTACAGTTTCTAATACTGTTGACTCTCTACAAGCTCCCTAATAAAAGTCAATAGTATTATCTAATCAATAGTAATATAACTTTTACTTCGGCGCCCCACGTTTTTCATCGCTTATAGTAGAGTGATCGCTTGCATTATTGTGATGTATAGCATTTATTTTCTACTTTTTAGTTCAATCAGAAAACGTGGGTTTTTTAAAACTTTGTTAATGATTATTTTAAATAATAATTTAACAAACGATAAAATGTGGTTCACTGAGTTGTTTTTATTGAATTGAATTACATCAATTAAAAATTCATAAAATTTCTTCAAAGTTTTAGCTTTGTTTATATTATTAAATAAAGTGGAAGTGAACTCCCCTAAATGTTCTCGTATATTCTAAATTCTAATATAACAGTCACTTCCAGTGCAATCAGGCTACATAAATGTTTTTCATTTTTACTTTCTCGTATACGAAGTATAGAGATAGTATTGACGTTTTACAGCTCCCTGAGTTGGAAAAACATACTTTTTCAATCGTGCCCGTATGTCTCTGTGTGTTTTAAATGTATAAACAAAATTTTATTTAGAGAAAAAAAATTAATTTCATAAAAAACGTTTAAATAACAAGCTATTATGTAATAATGCACTAAAAAGGAGAAAATAAATTATACATTACTATTTAAATAACTATAAAGAAAAGCGTGGGTCACTTTAGTATCTATTGGATACTTTTACTAATATTTAGGAAGAGGCCCACGCTTTTCTGTATAGTTATTTAAAATAGTAGTCTATAATTTATTTTCTCCTTTTTAGTGCATTATTACATAAAAGCTTGTTATTAAAGGGTTTTTTTATGAATTTTTTTAGTACTTTAAATGTTTTTATTTACAATAGAGCTACATGACTAAACACCATTGCGCACCAATTGAACGTGATGACGCGCCATTGAACGTGATGACGCGTGTGTGGAATAGTTGGATAAGACTGCCTACTATTTTGGTCTAAATTTTAATTAATTCATAAAAAAAACTATTCAGGCAACCAATTAAGTCAAATTGAGTTGCATTGTCTTCATATCCTGACCCACGTACCAACTACGAACCGTATCTGTCAGTTAGAAGTGCCTGCAATTTCCCTCGGGCGTTTCGATCTAGACAGACAGACTGACGACAGACGACAGAGGAAGTGAGTTAAATAAAAGCTTGTAAAAATATAAATAAAGGCATATTAGAGTGTAGAAAAACAACTTTAATTATGCAACAGGAAAAGTGTTTATACGTGTGACAAGAACGCGATGAAACAATGACGTACAGAACTAATGACGTCATCTTCCGATTTTAGAATATAAAGAAATTTCATTCAAATTTTATTTAGATCTATGTACGCTATGAAATGCATACAATACAATTTTCTCGGCCTAAACTTATAAAATTTATTTTATCTATTTGGTTTCTAGATCTGGATCTAGAGATTATAAATTTACGAAAAACTAGACTTAGACTCTAGCTAGATATATAAAGATCTAGATTCTATCAAGATATACAATCTATTCCAATAATAAATTTTATATACTAAACTATTTCAGGCCTTAATTACTGTATAGAAATCTTTGTTTGTTTAGCTATGGAATTGGCTAATTTGGGATAAAATTTAATTTGAAAGAATAGGGCCTATTCGCGTAAGTTAAGTTTTTTAAATACCTCTTTTATTCTACATCAGACTTATAGTGCCTAAATAGCTGAGATGGTTGTGTAATTGATATCAGGGTGGCACGGGTTTGAGACACATCAATCTTAAATTTTTATTTATTTGTTCAATTTGTTTTTTTAAAAAATATGAATGATAAAGTTGCCTAACGGGACTTGGCAGGACACGGGGCAGGTGAAGTAGAATTCATCTTCCCCTTCATTGTTTTTACGTGTATGTCCTTATGTGGAGTTTGACTTCATATATCACTTATTTTTAAAACAAAAGAAAATGTCACACAAGTGTGTACACAAGTGATTGACCGATAGAAAGATGTCGTACTGGACACGACAGTTACACTCACATACATACACAATCTATACACACGCTTCAGGCGTCTCCACACAGACCCACACACACGAACCACACAGACCCACACACACGGATCACACAGACCACACAGACCCACACACACACGGACCACACAGACCCACATACACAGACCCACACACACGGACCACACAGACCCACATACACAGACCCACACACACAACCAGCACAGACCCACACACACGACCCACACATGCCCACACCCACACACTTTCCCTATATATCAAAGCACGTATATCCACCTTGTCCCACACATAATTCAACATGAATTCACACACAGATTCACACACAAATTTATCTCACATCATGTGACGAAGATTGATAATGGGTTAGGTTAGAGGGGTGGGGGTGGGGGAATTGTTAAAAAAATTATTCAGCATTAAAAATGTGGCGTTTACAGCGAAAATAATGAGCTGAATTTTGTAGTATTGATATATTTTGTTGTGGAGCACGAGTGTATTAAAAACACTATGTCCAAAAAAACAGGTAGTAGAAAAATTTTAAACTGTCACCTTCACAGTATATATATCTTTCCGGCCCACCCCCCCTCCACCCCCACCTGCAATGTGAACAAAATGTATGCAATTTTTAAAAAATATACCCTTAATACGCTACGGGCTGGTGGTATACTGGTAGTATACATACGGTATACTGGGGAAATGCTGACAGCATACATTTTCTAGAAACATTATCCGAAACGAAACAAAAACCCTCAAAAAATCAAGGATGTTAAAATATCCCTGTCTGCCGGATGTTAATTAACCGAAGTTACCGTGTAACCCAATTCCTCTTTCTTCCTTCTCACCAGTATTTCTTTCAGACATTTTTTCATCAGAGGAATAGCACTGGAAACTTTCAGACGGGGGGGGGGGGGGTGAGGGTGGCAGGCATTGGTTAAAGTATCTATGTTGTTTTTTTTCATCGGGGGGGGGGGGGGGGCAGCGAGATGCCTGAAAGAAACTCTACTTCTCTTCCACCACGTAAAAAATGATTTTATTGAAGAAACCCAGAGCCCTTGCCAACGAATCGAAACTATTCATTGTAGTTATCTTATGCTGTAGTTCTGATATGGCGCTTTGGTGCTGCTGTTGGTGAACAGCGATAACAACCATATATATATATATATATATATATATATATATATATATATATATATATATATATATATATATATATATATATGTATATATATATATATATGTGTGTGTGTGTGTGTGTGTGTGAGAGAGAGTGAGAGAGAGGTAGAGAGAGAGAGATAGTGTGTGTGTGTGTGTGTCTGTCTGTCTGTCATTGAGTCTGCGTGTCTGTTGTTGGGAAACGAACCATGACAAAAATCCTGCCTACGTCACCGCTGGGGGTCCTTATAATGTAAGAAGGAAGTAGTTTAGGTGTTTCCCAATTTTAGGTTGTTTTTTTTTTTTTAGAAATGTAGAAAGAAAAATGGTGTGGCGACTTGTAACTCGACAGCTATGTCTGCAGTCATAAAGCATAATTAGTTTTTGATTAACCACTTTAATTAACACATCATTTGTCAAGTTTGGGAGCCGGGACTACCACTGCCGTAAATACAACTTCACGTTCAAGTTATCTAACAGACCACGAATAACTTCAGATTGACTAGTTTATGAAAATTGGATTATCTGGCTATGGAGAATGACGAAACTCGTGTTTTATTGGTGAGATTTTTTTTAAAATTTTAATAGTAAGGGTTTAGGTTTAAGCTTTAACTAAAGTGTATACTTAATTAAGCGCTAAGGCCTCGGTCAACTACTGATTCAGCATTAGGTATTTAGAGAGAAATTGCACTGTGTTACCACTTCAGACTACAGTATTGTTGTCTATTAGGCGCTAACAGGTAAATAATAATAATTTTTTTCTCGAAAGGATAATACATTTTAATACATGAAGAAAGACTACGTTTTAGAATATTCTCATTTATTCCAACATTTGTAATTTTCCTTGTTTTTTACATCGATAAATAAAAAAAAAACGTTTTTATTTTCTATTATGTTTTATAGCAAAGTGCAGGCCCTGAATCATCACCGTCACCTTCCTTTTCTTGGAGAGACAATGTAAACTGCGGAGAGGGTACTCCACATAATTCTACCCGAGGTATCTTTATAATGCATTACATTTACAGTGTATCACATGTTTGTGATTATTTTAATCAGTAAGCTTATCCTCATACAATATTCTGTGACCAGCACTTGAATGAAATATATTACTGTTTTCAATAAAATATTAAAGAGTTATATATATATATATATATATATATATATATATATATATATATATATATATATATATATATATATATATATGTGTGTGTTTGTGTGGTACGGTCAAAGCCCGAAGTGCGGCCAAAGCCCGCATTGGCCGGCCAATGTGCGCACTGGCCGGGATGTGTCCTAGCCAATGTTCTATCTAGACTAAGTTGTGATCGCGTTTTCATTATTCTGGGTGCGGTTTCATTGTGAGTAACGTATTTTTTAGCTCTTGTTTGTATAGCATTCTATATGCAAGGCAACATGGATCAAAATGGCCGTCAGACCATGAGACAGACATAGCAGATGGCTATCAGAAGAAAAAAATTAAATCCATTTTAGTTTCCATATATGGGCTACAACTGATTGTGACAGCTGTAGCCCATGATGACGAGGTGAGACAATCATCAAAAAACAAAATCAAAGACAGTCGGCGTCACCGACACATGCAACAAGACGGAACGTACACGAGGCTTTGTCGCGTTCGATGCTACCCTTATAAGTTGAAGAATGATTGGACTGAGAGTCTCAAATTCATTCACTTTATGAATAATCGTTCTTTTCATCGGTGATCCCCGAAGCGTCATTGCAGTTGTCGTGAGCGTCGAGGGCGCTATCTACAAGTTGAACGGAACATGGTGTTCTAAAACAACTGTATGCTAGAAGTGAGTTTTTAATTCTGCACGAAAAACTGCTCTTATTGTCGTCCGTTGGCACTGAGGAAAAATCGCTACGAACCATCGCATCTTCACAATCATTGACCGGCGGCCAAGGCTACACTCGCTGCAATTGCACAACCAAGTGAACGACAAATCGCTGCAAGTGTAAAAATAACAAGCTACTATGTAATTCTAAAGGCCATAAAAGTTCAACTTGTTGTAACAAGTGATAATATTGATAGATTGAGACTATAGTACAATAAAAAATGTGAATGTTTCTGTCATTTACTTTAATTAATAATCAATAAAAACTTAATTTCATGATCCTTGCGGTTTAAAAAAAACACCCAAAATCTGCTCATGATCTTCCCTAGCCAGATGATATTCTTATTTCAACTTTGGTCCACCATGGCCAGTCCGCGGATTGGCCGGCCAAAGGTCGAAATCAAGCAAAGTTTCGGACTTTGACCGGTCAATGGGAGGCGATATTGGCCGACTTCGGGCTTTGACCGTTGCGTATACATATATATATATATATATATATATATATATATATATATATATATATATATATATATATATACATATATATGTATATATATATACATATATATATAATATATATATATATATATATATATATATATATATATATATATATATATATATATATATATATATATATATATATATATATATATATATATACATATATATATATATATATATTCTCGCCCGAATGTGTGAGAGGTTCTAAGCACGTTGAGAATTTTCACTATCTTTCGCCGAACTAAGCACAACCAATAAATTCTAGGTAAATTATATATTTTTGCTTTTTTTTCGGGATGGGAGGGGGGGGGGGCAGTGTAAATGCGAAGACGTCTGAAAAAAAACTTTGAATAGGCCTACATGTTTGGCTATTTAATCTTCTAAATACCTGTATTTTTACAAGCTTTTATTTAACTCACTTCCTCTGTCTGTCTGTCTAGACGGAAACGCAGGAGTGAAAATTCGGACAGTTCTACTTGACCGATACGATTCACAGTTGGCACGTGGGTCAAGACATGAAGACAATGCAATCTGAAACTAAATTTGACTTAATTGGATGCCTAATTAATTTTTTATGAATTAATAAAAATTTGGACCGAATTAGTAGGCATGTCTAGCCAACCACACCACACGCGTCATCACCTTCAATAGCTGCGCCATCACGTAATGGCTGCGTTCAAAAACCATTGCGCGCCTACTGAACGTGATGTTCAGTAGGCGCGCAATGGTTTTTTTTAGTCATGTAACTCTATTGTAAATAAAACATGTAAAGTACTGAAAAAAAAATTCATAAAAAACGTTTTAATAACAAGCTTTTATGTAATGATGCACTAAAAAGTAGAAAATAAATTATAGACTACTATTTAAATAACTATAAAGAAAAGCGTGGGTGTCTTCCTTAACATTAGTAAAGGTATCCAATAGATACTAAAGTGACCCATGCTTTTCTTTATAGTTATTTAAATAGTAGTCTATAATTTATTTTCTACTTTTTAGTGCATCATTACATAAAAGCTTGTTATTAAAACGTTTTTTATGAATTTTTTTTCCCAATATTCTTACCATTGTATGATACAGAAGCTCCTCCACCTTACGATTTCCTCTATAAAAGGATTACAGCTGATAAACAAGAATGATTCAATGTGTTTACTTTCTTAGTTTAATTAGCTATGATTGTCATTTTATCTTCAAGTATTTTTTTCTCGCATGTTACAGGTATATAGAATTATTCATGTGTAAGCTTAAAAATTTTTAATTTTTTCATATTTTTTTACAGTCTTTTACGCAATTTTAACGGCGATCCCGGTTTCCATGATTGTTATTGGTAATCGATTACTATAAAACATTTTTTAACAAATTTAGTTCTCGATAAAACTCAAGTAAATATAAATATGTAATTCTTACATCAATTAGGTAGTTGTTTTTTTTTTACATATATTGAAATTGAATGAGTATTATTTCATATTTACACAGTGTTTTATAATACTTCCAGGTGCGATTTTCCTTCATGCTTGTCCTGTTGAGCGTATGATCCCGATCTACCTAATTGTGGCAGGATGCTTTGGTTGTGCCAAGTACGTGTTTAACTTGGTCCAGAGATGGCGTCACTCAAACAGGGGGAAGGAAGAAGATAAAAAAACGTGTAACCTTATTGAACAACTTGTCAACTGTTTTCTGTTCGCTTGGTTTATTGCAGGTGAGTTCAGATGGATAGCCTCTATCTCATTTAAGTGTCGAGTTATCAATAACAGAGTTTCTTTCAGGCCTCTCTTCTGGGCGTGGGGAAGGGCTATACCTCCCTCAAAAGAACGTTTACTCCCCTCCCTTAAACGAATTAGAATTTATATATTTCCCGTGTCCGCCCCCCCCCCCTCCCCCAACCGAAAATTTCAAGTTCCGGAGAAAAAAAATGTCTGAAAGGAACACTGATCAATAAACAATGACTTTTTTCCGACAGAGGGGGGGGGGGCGGCTTTAAAATTTTCGATGGGGTGGGGCGCAATAAAGATATCTGTGGGGCACACAATGAAGATCTCCTTTGGGGTTCGATGCCGGCAAAAGCATATATTTTTTAATATAGCCTACATTATTTATTTACCTTTTTTGTCCTGAACACCCCCATTCCCTCCCCCCCCTCTCCCAAAATAAAAGAGATTCATATCAGAAACTATGGAAATAATAGGTCATGAGGCGCATACCCTGACAGAACGCAATACTTAGTTTTGTTGTAGGAAATGCAATGATGTTCGACTTGATTAAGTTCTTATGGATCCCATCGAACTATAAAGATCAAACTCGTTTTGAGTTATCAGAAGCAGCGCCTTCATTTGGTTGGGACAAGGAAGTGGAAATTCCGACTTCTTCTTTTTTATAGACAAAAGTTAATATAGATCTAGAGTTCAACCTAGGCAAAAGTGTAAACTTTCTGGTAGGATAGAATTTAATAAAATACTTAATTTAAATTCTTGGGGGATTTTTTAAAAAAAATGTATTTTCAGGCAGTGTTTACATCTACCGTATTTATAACGAAGTGAGCTACGACCCTTTAAACAAGGATCACTACTGTCACAAGAGTTTGTATTTGTTTGCCTTTTGGGTGACAACTTCAGTCTACATCATCATGGGACTCTCCTGTTTTTGTGTTGGTTATGTCAGATGTTTATCATCCTTGTGTAAAGCAATCGACCCTACCGAGAGTCGCCTAGAAAATATT